AGTGAAGTTGGGAGGGACTCTTAAAGATATCCTTCAAGTTGTTTTAGAAAAAGTAATAAGACTTTATTAGCAGAAAAGTATAAAATTTTTTGCGAACATTTTTTTTGTGTGTTGTCAAAGGATCAGCGAAAAGAGTTTTAAATATTAGGCTTTTTGTAATATAAAATTTTTTATAAACATTCTTTTATAATATATGTAATTAAATAATTAATTAAAAATAAATAAAAATCAATAAAAGTAAATTTTAAGTAAAATAATTTATTTGTATTTTTATTTAAATATAAATTATTTATAAAAAAAAAATTTTTTTTTAATAAATACTTGTTTTGATTTTTTTATTTAATTAAATAGACTAATAATAATAAAAATAAATAAAAATATTAAAAAAAAGTTTGTAATAAATTAATAAAAACATAAAAATAATATAATTTTTAATAATTTAATGTATTATTAAATTCTTTTATTAATTTAATAAATTATATTTAATTAAAGACATATTCTAATATTCATTTAAGTTTTTCAAATAATAAAAAGGTTTAATTGGATAAAGCTAAAAATTTTTTATATTTTTATTATTATATTTCAATAAAATTTTTTGAAAACAATCCATTTATTTATTTATTTTGATTAAGTAATTTTATTTATATAGTATAATAATTATATAAAATATAATATAATATTAAATTTTTTAGATGATTAGAAGTAAAAAAAAAAAAAAATTATAATTTTTTTATGAAATGGTTAATAAATAAATTCAATTTCAAAATAATAACAGTGATAAATTATTGGTTACAATTTTTTGAATTAGAAGTCAAAATGCAAGATTAGAAAGAAATGAAATATTTTCTTTGCAAATTTAATTTTAATAAAAACTAATACCGTATTTTATAAAATAAAATACCATCCCAAATATAATACCATCATTTCTTTTTTTAGTAATTTCAATATAAAAACTCTAGTACTATATATAATATATTATATAATTGATTATGATTGGTAAATTTAAAATTATATATTAAAATTCTATTATTCCCATACATTTTTTATGGCTTCTAATTCTTCATATATTTGTCTATCAATGCTATCTTAAAAATTAATGGTAATTGTATTTTTATCTTCATTATTTTCTAATTTATTATTTTTTAACTTATCTAATTGTTCATAATCAAATATCAAATAATTTTCAGTTCCATTTAAATCAGTCAAAATACCACAACATTTAAAGGATTTTTTAATTAAAGTAATATATATTTCTTTTCACAAATCTTTAACCCATATAGCAAGAGTAGTATAAGATGGTTTACAAATTCATTCAGTTGAAATTAAATTTTCTTGTTGCATTTTATCATTTATTCAATCATTATATCAACAATAAATTTATTATTAATAAAAAAATAAATGTAAGTATTTTATTATAAATATTTATTAAAACATATTTCTTACCTTTTATTTAAAGAATTGATTAATAAATATATCTAATGGTTGTAATTTATTTGTAAATCCTTCTGAAATTATTCCTAGATCAGTATTTTTTTCTTTGAGGAAGTTAGATTTTATGGAATTTACAAGATGTTTTTAAAATAAATCCAAAATAAGAAAATTCTGTAAATTTGGATTTTTGTGTTGATTCCATATATTTTCTATCCAATATTGCATTTCAGTTTCATTACACTATCCTTTCTCATTGACACAAATATAAATTCCATTAGAAAAAATTTCATCACGTGATATATTTTTAGGCTTGAAAATACAAATTAGTAGAAGTTTCGAACCATCAGCTATACATCCAAGAATTACAGTAAACTATTTTTTTTTGTAACCCATTGTTTGAATCATAGTAGTTGATAATCCACATTTATTTATTGTAATTATACTTGAAAGATCAAAAGATAGTAATGTTTCATTCATATTTGCTATGTAATTAAGTATATAGTTATTTTTTTGTTGCTTATATAATATGTAGCTTAAAAATTCTTCTTGTTTTTTAATCAAATTTTCAGATAGATATTGAGTAACTGTAGTTTGTTAATGATTAGAAAATTTTTTACAAAATAAAAATCTGTTTAACCATTTCAAAGAAAATTTAAATTCATTAATATTGAAATATAAATCTTGAAAATTGATTTTTAACTGCAAGAATTTTGACTTTTCATGTAATCATATCTCTTGTTACTATATTTGCTTTGTTTTGACATTCTGAAATCCAATTAGTAAGTTCATCTTTAAGTTTTGGATAATTTGCACTATATCCTAGTGTAACTTTAATTTATGAGGTATTGCATTTTGTAATTCTTGTTTTTTTGCAATCCAATTATGAACTTGTTTTCTTTGAATGCCAAATTTTGTTGCTATTTTATGAATTGAATTTCCCTATTCTTGATAATAAATTATCATTAATTTTTCACAAATACAGTATATCAAGAATGATATTTGAAAAATTCTTTACATGCTTTTTGAACAGCAGTAGTTTGTTTTGTCATAATCATAAATAAGAAACAAAAACTTATCATGCTTTTGCATTTTTTTTTTTTTTTTTTTTACAATAATCAAGATCATAATGATGGATTATCTTATATTTTCCAAATATAGTACCAGGATACAATGAATCATCATATAATACCCCTGCCCTTTTATTCCGCAAAATACGGTAGCCATGATGACATTAAAAAAATTTTTTTTATGAATTGTATCTGCATTGTGCATAATCTGATATGTAATAGTTTTGGTGGGGGGTTCAACGGAACACGGTATATCATGAAGTCATCGTTCGAAAAGTGTAAAATAAATCCATTAATAGAAACTCCTCTCTAATCCCCTTTGAATACACCTGAATGCCGGTAACTCACCAATATAGAGAAGAGATGTGTCTACAAACTTTTAAAAAAAAGAAAAACTCTTTACGTCATCTATCACCGTGTTAGCGAAAGTGATTATCAATTATCGATTAGAGAACACTGCCACTTTTCTGAGAATCACGTTCTGTACGCTAGTCAATTTCCGCTTTGATAAAGTTCATATCTTGACTTTTTTTTTTCACATAAGATGTTAGAGTCTTTTACATCAAAATGATATTTGAATTATTACACCGAAACCATGATTTCGTCAGCACCGGAGATGCATTTACCAGATAAGTCGTTAGATTGTGATTATCTGACAGCTTTACTTTTTTTGATCCTCATTTGGATCATATTTATACACAGTGTAAAATAGGTTATCCGCACTTGGTAAAGTACTTTCCATGACAATTTATGAGATTCTTCCCATCACTTCAACCGTTTGACTTTCACAAAGGCAACCGAAAATTTTAAAATAAGGCACCGATGTAAACCGGGTGTGTAAAATACTGCATGTGGTATATTCCTTGTGGATTGTGACCATCCTTTCTAAGCAGTTCGGATTTTTGCGACGAGACTCTAAACAACATCAATCAACGGCGATTATGCATATCAAAAATAAGAAGTTGCTTATGCTATTATGGAATATATTACTGAACAAACTTGTAATAGCAAGACAACAAATAAAACAAATAGACGATTGTAACTTAAACAAGTCCTTTATGTTCTAGTGTGTACTCTATATAATCCATAACCGGAGAAATTATATACAGCAAATTACGTATATTTCATTCTATAATTGATTAATGCCAGCGAATTGACGAGATTGATTTTTTTTTTAATATTCAAATTACGTAGTATTCACAGATCAAGTAATTGATTTCAAGCGTGCGATGCGATGTAAAAAAAAAAAAAAAAAAAAAAAAAAAAAATAGGTATGCATCGGTTTTGTCGAAATCAATCGATCGATTGTTTCATACAGAATAATTGTTAAAGTCGTCAGATTACATAATTCGCATGAAATGTCATAATGCAGAATAACCATATGCAGAAGAGTTCACCCCGCAGGAGTAACATAATGTGACCAAACAAAAATCTAATCCAGGTACTGATCATTGGTCGCGATAAGAAAAATCCTGAATCGCAAATTCCACGTGTGCAATGCAATCCAAGGATGATGACCTCGGCGTGGAGGCAAGGAGGAAAATTTTTTTATAAACCCTAAACAGTTTAAAAGGAGTGGGAACATTTTCGATTATCATCGAAAGAAAGATTTATAAATTGTTTTTCGTTAATTGCAACACGGAATTATTATTTTTTTTTTAACCTAAACCACGAAACTCTCGACCTTTCTTGTTATAAACGAATAATATGTTGTCCAGAGTGACAACTTTGACCCTCTCCTACCTTTCCGCGCTCCTGGTATCATCAGTATGCGGTACCCAATATCTTTTCTCAGCATACAGCACGGAAATGCAAGATCGATTGGGTTTCAATGCGATACAAATAAACACCATTGGAAGTTTCGCAAATTACGGTGTTAACTTGAGTAAACCTTTCGTCGGATATATCGCTGACAATTACGGAGCTCGAAGGTATTCTTCACGCCGTGGAATAAGTTTGTCGCTTTCGTCTAACAACTGTGTCGCGATTTTTTATTTTCAGAACATGTTTATCCGGAGCCATTCTCATATTCACGAGTTATCTTTTTCTTGCCGCAACCTATCAACAAATCCTTTCACCAACATCATTTATGCTTTGCGCGCTGTACTTATTTTTTGCGGGGACTGCTTCCTCCGCAGGTAATTAATTGTCTTTCGTGAATGCTTTACACGAAGCGTAATTCATGCCAACGAGACGAACAAATGTGTAATGTTAAATTTAACACACGCTTAAACGTTTTAAATATACGTAAATAAACTATGTCAACGGACCTACTTAAACGCATGATCAACAATATTGGCACATAGGTATAGTTTCATGTATGGTGACGATAGTAAGTATTCAATTACTGTAATTATTGTCAAAATTAATCAAACTATGGTCACACGAATTCATTCTTTCCTTCTTTCTCAGACGAAAAATTTCACATCCTTCCGAGGTTCCGCATTAAGCATCCCCTTGGCTCTGTTGGGATTATCGGCATTCATTTATTCCCAAATCAACATGCTCCTATTTCAGAACGATACATTCCATTTTTTAATTTTCGTTGCTATTTCCTCGGGAATTTGTTTGTTCATCGGTAGTTGGTTTTTGACAATCGTACCTCCGCCCACGACAACTACTTTCGAGGAGGGAAATTGCATTAATGAAAACATAAATAACATTGATAAAGATTGTGACAACAGTCGTCACTCTAACATAAGTAATCATGATCTCTCTAATGAAACAACCGCAGAACAAACGCCTCTTCTACAAAAACGCAAAAATATTGAACATCAAGATCTCATCAACGATGAGCCGGATATAGGGGGCTGGGAATTGTTGCATAACAAAGATGCATTACTATTAATACTTATCATGGTATTCATAGGCGGAGCGGGACTGATGTACATTAATAATGTTGGTATCATCATAAGATCTCTCTATTACGCATCCTTAACCCACCCTACTCCCCAGAGTTTTCCTACCGCAAAACATCTAGTCCAACCAGAAATTCAACGGCTTCAAAACCTCCACGTTTCCCTCATATCCATATTCTCATGCATTGGTCGAATAAGTGGAGGGTTTTTCTCCGATGCGGCTAAATATTTTTGTGGTACACCTAGAATTGGTTTTCTCGCGTTGGCGGGCATATTGTTGTTCATAGCACAAATTTTGATGTGCATTTCAGTGCGAGCGCTAGAAGATTTGTGGAGGGTCACGTGCTTTGTTGGTTTCGGTTTTGGGATGCAGTATGGAATTGCACCGACGATTGCAAGCGAGATTTTTGGATCAAGGAGATTTGGATTAAATTGGGGAATTTTATCGTGTGTATGTAAACAAAAAGTTTTGATTTTTCCATACATTATTATTATTATTATTATTGCTTCCCCTAATCCTCGTGTCTGATCCCGTAAAATAGTTCCCGTCAATTGGAGGTCAAATTTTTAACCTCCTGTTCGGTTGCAACAACGATTTGCATGGAAAGCAATGCGCAGGCGCGGAATGTTATAACTCGGTGTTTTACATAAGTTCCGTGGGATGCCTTATCAGTGTTTGCGTTGCGTTGTATATCTGTTTGAGAATGATGATAAGCCGGCAGCTTTAAGATATTTGCATATACTGTAGCTTTAGGATAATATTTATTTTCTAATTTTTAATTTTAATTAATATTGCCGGCGCGTGCATAAAATTCATCATCAACCTGTTGGATAGCAGTCACTTACAAGACTTTATTAAATTCAATATCTTCTATTTATCCGAGTTTTCTTTGCGAACCACCTACTAATCTTATGCCCTTAAATCCCTCTCAACGAGAAATTTCCAATGGCACACATACTGTACCTTTTGATTAAATTGAATTATTTAATATTAAACTAAACCTACGAATCATTCTTCTTCTTTTTTTTTTTTTTTACTTAATAATAATAAACATCCTATGGAATTAAGTCTAAGAAAAACATCTAAAAAAAAAAATGTATGCTTACAACCGGAACGGTATTTGATAAAATTTAAGATATAATTTTTTTAGTTAGCAAAGAACAAGAAGCAAAACTTTGTTGATTTAAAAAAGACTATTAAATATTAATAATTTTTTTAGTTAGCAAAGAACAAGAAGCAAAACTTTGTTGATTTAAAAAAGACTATTAAATATTAATTAGTAAAGTTAAAGTTGGAAACTTATCGGATTATATTATTTGTTATTTAAATAATTTTCCTAAAAATATCCATCGTTGACAATATTCTTAATAAAAGGGGGAAAACGACACAATCGTCGAGTGCCATCATATACACACATCACTATCTGATCATAATTTACCGTATTCTTCATCCGCAGTAATCACCCATTTAAATCTCGAGCCATGTTAAACATTACGGTCAATTCTCGATAAAAGAAAGTGTATGCATTGTATGATAAATACTATATTTTGTCATATTGAATGTCACATTTGGATAGGATTATCGTAAAAGAAACCCTAGGTATGATTCCCATTTGATTTACCGAAATCACGCTAAATCACGTGGTTATCATAGCTCCGACGAAAGTTAATCTCCGCAAATTTTTGAAATTTATTTTTTTATACATGTACAATAATTTAATAAGAAAATCAATAAAATATTTAAAAAAAAATAGAAAAAATTTTTATTATAATTAATTTGAGGTTCAAAATCGATTTTGGAAATATGGATAATTGTTATTCTTATATATATGCATACATTTCATATCTATCTATCAAATTCTTTTTTCCAAAAACTTTAACTCTATCTCTAAAAAAATTTCCAATCAATTTACAAATAAAATGAGATACAATATTAGATTTTCTAAACATACCTTAAAAGAATTTCAAAAACATGAACTATGTTCATTAAAATAAAAATATTCTAATCTGAAAAACAAAACTTTTACTTGAAAATATAATATTAGTCTTAGTACAGTATCTAAAATTTTTAAAAATAATGAACATTGACTCAATATTGATCTTTTTACTATTGAAGCTCAAAAAAAAAGAAGAAAAAGTCCCAAGTATCCTTTACTTGAAAAAGTATTAATAATTTGAATTGATAATGCATTAAAAGTCAACTTAACTATTACTAGATTTATTTTGACATATCAGGCTCAGGAATTTACAAAACTATTATATAGTTCTAATTTCAATGCATCAGAAGAATGATTAACAAATTTCAAAAAAAGAGTCAGCTTGAAGTAATTTGTGTATCATGAAGAAAGAGGTAGTGCTTCTTTAGAAGAACTTTTCAAATTTTTTTTAAAAAAATATTATAAGATTTATTAAAAGATTGGTTTTTGAAAACATATTTAATTGTAATAAAACTGGTCTTTATTAGAAAATGGAACTCTCAAGATTTCTTGTAAAAGAAATAATTATGAGAAAAAAAAAAGATAACAAAGAGTCACAATTCTTTTTATACAAATTTTATAGATATTAAAAAATTATACTTTTTATAAAAATTTATATACTTACTGTATGTATTTATATATTTTATTAGATTCTATAAAAATCAAACCTTTGATAATTCATTATTTTAAATCACTTCAAATTTGGAACAAAACTAAGAGTAAAGATTCATTAGTTAATTACTATTAAAATAAAACTACCTAGATAACTACTATAATTTGAAATGAATTTTTAATTAATTTAAATAATAAAATAAAAAAAGATAATAAATTTATTATTCTTTTTTATATCTAAGCACCTACTCATTATAATTACAATAATTTGAAATCAGAGGACTTGTCAAATTATTTACTATCTACCAACACAATTGCACATTTACAATCAATGAATACAGGAATCATTTATTTATTTAAAATAAATATAATAATTTTATAATTTTAAGATTTCAATATATTAATTAAACTTAATTTATATCGATAAAATATAAAAGATTATTGATAAAATTTAAGATGTATCAAATTAATTTAACATATAATATTGAAAAAATTCCTGAAAATATTAATATCAAACATGCAATAGATTATATTACAAAAGCTTGAAATATATATATATTTTTTTTTTATTACGGGCTCATGTCTAACTTTATTGAATCCCAAATTACAAGTTTATATTGTGCAAAGTGCAAATACATGGATGTATATTTAGAAAGAATAAAGATGATGATAAGTTAAAGTTGTTTTAAAGCTACTTCAAGGCTTATTGCCCTTTCTTTTTATAAAGAAAACCAACATCCCTAGAGCGTGCTAGTATCATATATGAAAAATAAAAGAAATAAAAGAAAAAAATTGACAGTCATGTGAAATGTGACAGTTCTGTTTCTTGGCACATGCCTGTCTTATTCTAATTCCTCATGAGAAGGTCTGAGAAAAACTTCTACTAAGTCTTTACGAAAATAAGATGAAGATCAAAGGAGAGATTATATAGTTTTAAGGCTTATGGGGAGAGAGTAGTCAGGAAGGTCCAAGTGGTATATTGGTGTTCACATAATTGACTTGAGAGTCTTCCAGTATATCGTCAATTAAATCCATTTCTATCTAAATATGAATATACTTACCCATCTGTATATCTTATTTCAGATTTAATTTCTTATATGAAGAATAGCATCTAACCTTGTGGTCGACATATCTTGCTAATGGCCATTGATACTAATGATTAACGAGGATCTTTTAGACATTCTGGCCAGCTCGCACGTCACTGCTGACATTTTTGGACTCGAGTTTTGATTGGTGTAGCAGTATTAATCTTCCAGTCTTCCAGCTCAGGATTTTTTGAAGATAGAAGGAAAACTTCCTAGGTTACTTTGTGCATAAGCTTTACCACTGAGTATTCTAAGTAGTTTCCTATTTTCTCTGATTTAAACTTTCCGGGAAGTAGAAGTTGGAACCTACCTGACATACAATCAGGAATAAGTGGCTTTGATCTTTAAAAAGAAGTGATCTAGTATCTTGTGACCTTTACCATGGTCAGACGGACTCTTTTCTATATCCAATGATGTGTTAGTGCCATATCCTGTATCCACCTGCGTCAGACAAAATGATTTATGATGGACTCCAAGTTCTTATGGAGCTGAGAAAATGCATTCAGACATGTGAAGTGGCCAATAGGAACTTGTTTATCAATCTTGTCTAACGTGTTTCATATCAACCAATCAGAGTTGGTGAGATCTGTATTACCCAAAATTTCAGGATCAAGCTGGGGTAGGCAAAATTCCCCAGAAAGCCATGAAAAAGATAGCTTTGAGAGGCCACAACACCATTCAAAGGATAGAAAAGTAAGTCCTTTGACTGGTTTTTAACCTCTATTATTTCCACTATAACTAAGAGGAGGAAGGTACTTCACTATTGGTTCTTTTTCCTTTAAGAACTTTCTTGCCATAGGTAGTAAAGGTGGAAACTGAACTTTGCAAGCCACAAGAGTTCAGTTTGTTCAAAGAAGATTGTAGACAAGAGGGAGGGAAGGTGGGGGAGTTCTGAGGAAACTCTTTGGATTGATTTAAGGAAAGTAATAAGACTTTATTAGCAAAGAAGTATTAAAACTTCTTGCGAACATCTTTTTTGTGTGTGATCAGAGGATTAGCAGAAAGAGATTTTTTTTGAGCTTGAAATAATATTAATTTTAATATTATTTTAAATTATTAGAAAAAAATTAATGTTATTTTTTTTTCTCAAATTTCTCAAGAAATATAGTAGATGATCCTCAAATTTTTGCTTTTGATAGTACTATTATTGAAGAAGTAATTTCATTTTAATAATATAATTAAAAAGAAATAGAGAAATTGATTAATCAATTATCATATAATCATGAAGATATTATTAATATAAATAATTATATTATAATAGCTGACTTATTTGAAATTTAGATATTACAAATAAGAATATTATAAATTTTGTTCAACAAAAAAAGATTAAATCTGATTTAGTAATCAAAAATATTAATAATATTAATAATTTTATTAAACAAGATTCTAAATTAAATTTGAATAGTAATTATATAGAAATACTTAATTCTTTATAACAAAAAATTTTACACAAATATAAAAATTAGTTTTTTTATTTTATATATACTATATTTATTTATATAAATTAAATAAATACTGTATTAT